CACGGATGATAATGCTATCAATGAAGCTAACAATGACATAATAATACTAAGGCACGGATGACAATGCTATCAATGAGCTAAGAATGAGATAATAATACTAAGGCACGGATGACAATGCTATCAATGGAGCTAAGAATGAGATAATAATACTAAGGCACGATTGAGAGATGCTCTAAATGCAGCAAACAATGACATAATAATACTAAGGCACGATTGACAATGCTATCAATGGAGCTAAGAATGAGATAATAATACTAAGGCACGATTGACGATGCTATCAATGGAGCTAAGAATGAGATAATAATACTAAGGCATGATTGACAATGCTATCAATGGAGCTAAGAATGAGATAATAATACTAAGGCATGATTGACAATGCTATCAATGGAGCTAAGAATGAGATAATAATACTAAGGCATGATTGACAATGCTATCAATGGAGCTAAGAATGAGACAATAATACTAAGGCATGATTGACAATGCTATCAATGGAGCTAAGAATGAGATAATAATCCTAAGGCACGATTGAGAGATGCTTTAAATGCAGCAAACAATGACATATAACTAAGGCACAATTGACAGTGATATCAAGTGAGCTAACAATAATACTGAATAAGGCACGATTGACAGCACATAGGAGCTAACAATGACATATTACTAAGGCACATTTACAGCGCTGTCAATTAAGCAAACAATGAAATAATAACACTGACTAAGGCAGTCCTATCAATGGAGCTAACAATGACAGCCACAATTGACAGTGCTGTCAATAAAGCAAGAAATGACATAATTTATTAACTAAGGCACAATTGACAGCGCGGTCTACATATCAATGATATATTTTAATAGCTACTAATAACATCTTTAATAACAATTTAATAACATTATGGCATTTTCATGCTGGAGAATATTTATCCCTTGGTCGTTATTATATATCAAAATATATCTTTTTGAGAGACAACTTTGAAATTCATATTTATCACCCAAAGTTTAAGTTAGTATATTAAATTATATCGTCCTTGTTATTTTCGTCATGTTATTACGATGCAATAAAAGGTTGTTTTTTTAATATCAGATTCAGTAACATTTGTTCACATTCAACTTTTCTTTGATTGAACGCATAATCGATAGCATAACATAGATAAACATTCGTTAAACTGGGGCTGATGTCCTGTGTGTTGCAGACTGTGCTCGTTAATGAAACATAAGCGGTCATGAATGACAATAACAAGCTAAGAAAGTCCAAGCAATATTTCCACCATAGATTATTCTACTTCATTGAATTTTTGCAATTATTTTTTACGCGGTACTCGGTTATACAAATATGAATTTTTATCTTTCATCTATGCCTTAACATGTAATAGTACAACTGAAATAGGTTTACTACATTCATCAATAACTGTCAAATGTTATCATCCCGTGACAAATATATAATTGACCTGTTTAAAACAGTAAGATATAAGGCTATTTATTTTTATTAAATTCTTTAAATAACCGACTAAATGTGAAATTTCGTCAATTATGACAATCTTGTCCAGAAATGTTCTTTTTTTATCATCTTGTAAACTCCTGGAATGTTTTTGAGATCAGAAATAACATAAATTTTATTACTTCTACTCTCATTTCAAATGGAGTTTTATTATGTACTCTTTCGTTTCATATTTCCATTAAGACCCCCATATCACCAAGCATTATTTTGGTTCCGACAGTACCCGAAATTAATATTGTGATTAGCATTTAATAGCTGAGAGAGAAGCTTTAATTTGTCCAATCCAAAATCGGACATAAAAAGTATAACAGATTCGAATCCCCGTAACGTATAACAATTAATCAGTATTTTTTTCAATCAACGAGTAGCCGAAATCTAATGGGCGAAAAAAATATCCAAAAGCGTTAACTTTGTTGATTAACAAAGACATGTTTTCTTTTTCAACCTTTCTATTGAAAACAAATATTCCGTGTTAATAGTTGTTTGCCCTATCGTATTACAGGATTAACAAGGAGCTTCTACATTCTTGGGTTTCAAGGCAAGCGTCCATGCAGTTATTTTGATAAAGTTAAACAGCTCTTGTTTTTGAGCTTTTGTAGCAGACGGCTTATTATATTAATATTATATATGGTCTCTTTATAGGGAAAAAATCAAAATGTCGATTAAATTTACATTAATTAAACATTTCAACATACTGTTACTTCTTTAAACAACTTCATCAACGTTAACGCAGCCTTTGTGAAGAAAATAATTAAAGCTGCAATTCACTCAGATTATTTTATCAGTTGTTATAACAATGAGGATGTTTCTGAGAAATATACTGTCATAATCAGGTCGATTCTCCCAGACGCCACAATTGCTAGTATAGGTATTGAAAACCGAATTGCCGACTTTGTTATTGGTCAGATACGAGATATATGATAAAGTATCTACATGACCCAGTATACGTACACTGAGAGCAATAAAGCTATGAAATTAAGTTTTATACTTCGTAGATAAAATACGTTGATTCGTAGTTTACAGTGGATTTTATGTACTAAGTGAGTTTTAAATTTCATCTGCATAACCTTGGACATTTCTCTCGGTGTTTAATACAATACAATACAATACAATACAATACAATACAATACAATACAATACAATACAATACAATACAATACAATACAATACAATACAATACAATACAATACATACATACACACAATACACACAATACATACATACATACATACATAATACATACATACATACATACATACATACATACATACATACATACACGTGGTACACTTGCCAAGCCGAGTTAAAGAGGACATTACAGGTAGATATGTCAACTATATCATCATCCTGAGCCCAAAATCTCCAATTCTGCTCTTTACTACCGAAGTCATAATTAACTGCCACATATTGACCATTTTTTTTTTATATATCTTGTGCCAAAAGCGGAGTTTCTAAATTTTTATTATATACATCAACTCATTAATGTGGGTGTATATATAATATGAGTTATAGCCCGTGTTCTTAATAATTAGCTCGTAAACACTACAGAAAGCAAAATTTTAGACTGATTATGACGAAACTTGGAGTGAGTGCATGTAATCACCTAAGGATGATCCCCAACAAAAACCCTAAAAAACGAATAAAAATAGAATAATATAAAACAGAAAAGAAACAAGAAAAGGTCTGTGAAAAATATTACTCTCGGAACGTTTCTTTACTGATAGCTCAGTTGTCAACCTCCCAGACTACTTGGGTGCCATTACAATTTGTGGTCGTATTATGGTAGCCATTGCTATCTTTTATAAGAATATTGCGATAAGAAAGTCCACCGTGGCTGCTCTTTTCATTATTACGATCCGTTGGGTAGGATGTAACGGGACCTCTCAGGTTTTGAGAACAAATGAATTATATTTTAATCGAACATGGAAGAAGTTACTGCAATTTAAAGTTTTCTTTGTTTTAGGGTAAAAAGCTCATTCATTTCTACGATAAAACGCAATCGTCACGTTTAAAATATTGACTTATTTGCTGCCGCTTAAACAGACCACGAACTATTCAATAAAACCTAGAAACGACATAACCTAACAGTTAAAATGAAACATTCTGCAGCACATCGCTGTTTGGACAAAAAAAAATGTTTTACTGTGGAAGCTATATTTTAACAAACCAAGGCGCATGTTTAATTTGGCCAATTTTCAGGCGTTTTGGATAGACCTTACCGCACTAAAAGCGATGACTAATTTCATGTCAGCTCAGAATGTGAAACTTTCATTCTTCCTATAGTACAAATGATATGTTCATGAACCATGAAGTTTTGATCTATATTTTGATCTAATTTCTTTAGTGCACCTTATTTAATTTTAAGTGAAGATAAAGACTCATTATACACAAAAGTAGCTAATTTAATTGAATATTATTTGAATTAGAAGGGAATTGAACAAAAAACACAAGATAAGTTTGAATTTTAAAGAACGATGTAGCGATAAACTCCTTTGTAAACCGCTATAATTATTTTATTGAAGGTCATTTATGGCAAATATACCCCAGTATTCACTGAAAACGAGTGGCCAGTCATTACAAGATTTTGACGATACGGCAAAATGCATTGACCAAAGCTTCGAACAATTTTAAATGCTCCCTGCCAGACCATTGTGTGAAATTATTCCTTCGTGGTGTCAGAAACAATTGTTAAAATTCATGTCTCCATTTGGTACAAGTGTAGCCAACGTAAATTTTTGTATAGACTGTAAAATATTTACATGAAGAGTAATAGATGCTTATAACTATTTAAAACTTTACTGATTTTTAAAAATCTCATTTGAAAGGAATATTAAACTGAAATAATGATATTTAGGTTATCTTAGGCCAGTACAGACTTTTGAATTTTGTCAGCAGGGCACGTTCGTCTCAGTCCATGCTATAGAAATGATAATCAGTGAAGCTTGCTGTAATTGTTCGCACAAAGAAAATATTTTTTTTTCAAGTAATATGATTCGGGGATTATAATGTAAAATGTATTGACACCTAAATACTTTTGAACGGACTTGAAAGTTCATAAGAGAATGAATTGAAGCCCAACGGTTTATTTCAAAATTTTATAGAACTTTTTCTATAAAACGAATGAGTTGAAAAGAAAATACTTTCTAGTTATTTTCCTTTCCATCAATCAAACATCATTTCACACCTTCTTATGTGTTATTTACATCAATCTATATGATTTGTTATGAAAAATACCTAGTGATATAGCATTTTTCAAAATGACTTGGCAGTTTTCATGACTAAAAGTAGCCCTATTTCCATCGGAAGTCCTGTGCAATATTAACATCCGCTTAAAATTAACTCTTATCGTAGACTAAAATGCACAGTACAAAATGACTCTACGGTTTTAAGAACAAAAAGTAGCCCACCACCGGAAGCCCAGTGCAATAATAGTTGGTAGATATGGAGGTATAACGTTGCCAAAATTAGCGATTGTTTTGCAGCTTTAAAATGCCAATGTTGTCATTACAAAATGCATTTTGCCAATCAAAATACAATCGTCGATAAGGTAAAAATGCAAAATGCATAAGTATTATAAGCATTTTGCAAAGGTCAGTAATAATGGAAATTAATCTGTAATGTTATGACAAGGATAGACTCCTGTAATTCATTTACCACCTGTTCCCCTGTCAAATCTCAAAATTGAACCTTCTATAGCTTTGTCCAGAATCTCGTTGAAAACTTTCCAATATGTCACATGCAAGTTTGGTCAATGTTTAGTTTCTGGACAAAAATTCAATACACCATGACCATGAAAATCTTGAACTAGCCAAACTAAAAGTAAACCACTACATTTTATCAACTGTCAATGCACACAAAACGACTATTTTTAGAATTATCCTTCCGCATGAAAATCTCTCATCATCTCACAAAATCTGAAAGAAAATGCAATTTAAAAATTCCAAATCTAAACCTAAAATAGTCAAAAATAGGCATGCAAAGCTCCCAAAAGGGAGGGAGAAAGAAAATAGCACGGACTACATTCGTAGTATAAAATTATTTAGTGGAGTGTGTCCATAAACTGAAATTTAATAAGTACAATTGACTTGGCAATTCCTATAACAAATCATTTCGCATGCTGTAAATAACAGAATAGAAGGTTAGGAATAAAGATATTACTACACATTTTATTATTTTATTATGATATTATACGCAGAATTTTATGCAAAGGACAGCATGTGTTATTTACACCTGTGTAAAATAGTTATGCTCTACATGATAAATGAAGGTTTCTTCTGATCTCTTGCATGAATAATATAATATCTCTTCATACAATTATACCCTTTTGGTAGAAATCTGTCTCTTGAAGATAATGTTGTTTTCAATATAAGGGTGACAATTGTTGCATAATTATATTGGATTAATTGGAAAGCACGATAATTTTTGCTGTTAATTATTCATAACTGACTGAGATACATATACATCTTGATTTGATGGGGGCGGGGTTCTGTAATAACAATCTTGGAATGCGGATAATGAGTTCGAGTTGTTGTTCAGTAATTGTTCAGAATGAGTGAAAGCTCGGTTGGTTTGACCTCTATTGCAACTAACGCTAAATGTAGTTTTTATTTCTTTTATTGATTAAAATTATACATAAAAAAGTATTACATTATTTGTTTCTTGATATATTCAAATATTTAATTATCGAAATTGAAATAATATTTTATTATAGACTTTAAAATTTATTTTAGTGTTGATAGCAGAATGTCAGTGTCAACAACTATTAGAAGCGCATGTAGAAATGCTGGGTGTCACAGGGAGTGTGGTGTTCTCTCAAAATGCTCCGGGTGAAACTATACAAATACAATGGAACCTACAGGGAATCGATGAATTTTCTTGGCAACTCAACGAGCTCTATTTGAACTATGATACAAGTGACAAATGCTTGACCAGTGATATCGGCAATAGGTTGGTATCCATTTAGTTCGCTACAATAATTTTCCAGGAGTCACGCTGAAGATATAATTCGAGGTTATATTCAGAGAACGGCATAGGAAAGGAGTCTAGTAGTTCGGATCGTACAAATTGAATATCCCAGGCTATCCTCGTCGTAGACAAAGATCTCTCTTCAGTTGCATAGCACAAAAAATTTAGTCAAATCGCAGTAATTATCTTTCATTACACACTGCATTATGTTGCCATTCTTCTTTAGTTCAATCCTGATCAGATTCCGTTACATTCCATCTCAAAACCTTTTCTGCAAAACTGAATTTTGATTATTGTTGCCTTTACAGATTGGGTAACGTAGGTGGAACAGTTTTATCAGTATCCGATTCGACTTCTATTACTGATACAAGTATTTCACTATCAGGTCCGAATACAATAGAAGGTAAGACAGCTATATTACCTTGGTTCCGTTTCAACAATCTAGCATCTAAGGTGTGATGATGTGCCTTTTTTGTTTATATGATTATCTGCCTAATGTTCTAAAATTAGAGTGAAACCATAACTTTTTGGAGAGAAATGACAGGATCTCTCAGTGGAAAAAAAGCATAATTCTAAAAAGGTGTATACCAAGTGTCAATTTAGGAAAAAAATTTAACATGAAATCATCCTCATTTAATTTTGATCGCACATAGTAAAAATAAAGGAAAATCTTGTTTCAGATTCAGCGTTTTGTCGAGCACCTACTTTCATCATAAGTGGTCTAAGGTCAACAAACGTGAAAGGATAGCCTCATGAAATTTACCCCAATCCATCAAGTATTTCCGGTGAAAGGAATGACATATTTTATTTCTCATTTCAGGAAGAACTATTCTAATTAGCAACCAGCAGAAAACAGTGTGTGCCTCAATTTTGCTCCGGAAAGATTACGACACAAGCCTTTCCAAATTCGACAACGGCATTTATGGAACAGTTTATTTTCGAAAAGTTCCTGATTCTTCAAATACGATAATCTACACAGACTTGTTTTTTGATCAAGCAGCCTCGGTGGAATATAAATGGATGGTATACCAAGGACCAGAAGGTGATTGCAAGTCTGCAACAACGTTGTTCAATCCAACTAGTTCAGACGGTACAGGCTGTTCATCAACTGCCCAAACTAATTGTCCAATCGGAGAACTAACTCAGAAACTGGGGAACGTTCCAGTTGGGATCAATGTTGGTACCACCAAGAGGCGTTTTGTCGACTCCAATCTACCACTGACTGGAACTAACAATGGAATTTCTGGTAACATTTTGGTACTGCTGAAAGATAACGGAGATGTTGCTCACTGTGCTTCTATCATGAAAGTCCAAAAGAAATATGCAACGGCTTACATTAGCCGGCAAGGTGTAAAAGGACACATGAATTTTAGACAAAACTCGCCCTTTGATTACACAAATGTTGAAATAAGTCTGAGTGGACTTGGCAATCTAGCTAATGGATACCATGTTCATAAGTTTCCAGTTCCACAAAGATCAACCACAGAGCAAGGTAAACCATTGACAAAATTCGTCCTTAGATTTTCATTATGAATATCACACTGTGATTTTTAACAAAAAATGAAAATCAAGTTTTAAATTTATGGAAGCCACCAAAATAGCAAAGGTAACGGCAGTAAGTCTTTAATGTTTCAAAAGAATTACTACAAAGCTACAAGTCAGAGATTGAGATTTTCTACTGTGGTGGTGTTGCTATATTTAGGTTGTGCATGTACACCCTCCTGGTCTTGTAAATATCAAACTGAATTTTTCAACCCTGTAGCCTTATGGAGCATCAATAAGCTCATGATGTTTATTAGGTGTATTAAGTGCACCAGATGATCCCCATGAAATATTTATACTTTGTGTATTTTAAGAGGTCTGTGGAAATGAGTATGTTTCGGGTCATTACAATCCTTTTGGTGTAACTAATTCTCCAGTTGGTGGAACGAATGACCAATACGAGGTAGGTGATCTGAGTGGTAAATACGGCGGATTAGCCGGTAATGATGATTATAATTTAACTACCATTGACTGGAATCTACAACTATTTGGCCCAAGAAGCATCATCCAAAGATCTATTGTAATACATAAGAATGATGGATCAAGATGGATTTGTGCGAATATAAAAATATGTCCAGTTCGAACGGCCATGGCTCGTATAACCTTCCCATTTATAGGTGAGTCATTATTTGTCTACACTTTGGTTTGTTCCAAGTTATGAGATATTGCGATTGACTTCCCAAACCCAAAACGTAACGTTCACAGATAATACTGTGTATATGTATATATATTCCACCATTACTATGTTACGGATTTCTTTGTTAATTACTGAACAACCGATACATGATCGATTTGATTTTGCTACCAATTATACTTCTTGTAAATAACCCCGCATTCAAAAAAAAAAAAAAAGAAAATCACAAAAATTGATCACTGGTTTAACTTCATAGGTCACGTTATCTTTATGCAAGATAAAGTACTGGATGGAAGTGATACGTCAATTTTTGTCGGACTAAATTCTGCCGATGGAACTGTAACCTCATCAAAATATGATTGGCAAATTCATGAAAATATGGTCGGAGAAGACAAGTTGCAAAGTGATGTTACCCAGAGATGCATGTCGGCTGGAAATGTATACCACTCATACACAGGCGAAGCCAGTAGCCTTCAATGCTCCGCTTCAAATCAGATAGGATGCAAAAACGGAGACATGACAAAGAAACACGGGCAAGTGACCGTGAGAGCGTCTGATAACACGGAAGCAGAGCATCTCTTTACAGACTCCAATATTGCACTCTCAGGTCCGAACAACTTAGTTGGTAAATCAGTTGTTCTGCTCGATGGTACCACAAGAATAGCATGTGCTAATATCTACGAGATAAGAGAACGCGTAGCTGTCGTGAATTCCTGGTCTACGGATGTCACTGGTTCTATTTCATTTTCTCAAAGTAAAGGAGTTACTGAAGCTGACACCGAGATCGATAGAAATGTAAAAAATCTCAATGATATTGTCGGCCCATACCATGTCCACGAATTTGCAATTCCGGAAAACGCTGACAATAAATGTTCAGGGGCGTCAGTAGCTGGTCATTTCAATCCTTTTGGAATTACTAATGCTCTTGCAAATGGAACACATGATCAATATGAACAAGGTGACTTAAGTGGGAAATTTGGAAATCTGTTGGGAGAGGAGGATAGATCTTGGAGTATTGACACGAACTTTGACGTATTTGGCATCAATAGTGTTATCGGGCGATCGGTTGTGATGCATAAAGCAGTTGACGGTGCCAGGTACTCGTGTGGTAATATTATAGAAGATGTAACTGTAACAGGCGGAAGTCTGTTTCAAGCCAAAGCTACTTTTGATTCCATTCTAAATGGTTATGTAATGTTGGTGAGTATAATATTTTATCAAAATATTGACATTCTTCAATTGAGCTACAGTTATACACACGTATAACGCAAGCTTTGAAATTCAAAATTTCCAGGCAGCTCTAGATGAAGTAAATAAACACTTTTTGATTGGTTAATTTCCAGCAAGTTTTAATCAAGATGTAATATTTTCTGGGCAAACACTATTAACATAAGAAGAACAAGTTGAATTGTTAAACTTTTAAGTAATCTCACATGAAGTAGATCTCAGATGATTTAAAACAATACATCCCAAACACGTAGATTAATTGATTTCAACTGTTCAAATTTTTTATAGATTGAAGATAAACATGTCAATTATTGGCCACTTTGTGCATTTGGCGTTAAGATATTTCGATCTTGGAATCAAAATTTCGAATTTGACATCATCTGACACACATTAAAATCAGGAAAAAAACTGAAAGCAAGGTATACCATTCCATTACCTTATCAAACAATACCTGACTGAAAACGATGTTATCTATGATATTTCAGAGTCAATATCGATATCCCGATGGAAGTATGAGTGATACTAGTGTAGAAATTCAGTTGAAATATGCAGATGGGTCGGCAGGGGTAGGCTTCAATTTTTCTAGATTGTTTCAAGCTATAACTGACTGGCCGTAATGCTCTTTGAATCACAATGTGCACCGAACCCAATAAAAGCGATTAGGCTCCACATTAAACTGAGTACTTTCTTCAAAACGTATTTTGAATAATTTTTCACGAGCTTTGCGTACATACATTACCATACAACCTTAATCTGTAGGCCCAATTATACTGTATATCATGTAGTGCGTCTGTCTAGGTCGCCGAAAATCGTCCACTACAAACTGGGTGTAGCAACAGGTATTCCACTTAGAAATTTAACCAACAGTTAGCTGAATTATATTAACTTGATAAACGTAAGGAAGTTTATTACAGTATAATACATGTATGTGACGGCACACTACGCATTAGATCAGAAACAAATCAGGGTTTGAAGTCACGTTTTACTATTGTTATAATTATGTATACATATTTGTGTCCACTATCGTGACATATATATTAATTGCGTGCGTACTTTTGTTTCCAGACAAATGACCATAATTGGCACGTTCATAAGTACAGTATACAAGGTGATGATCAGGCTGTTACAGGAAGATGTTCTAGTGCTGGTGGTCATTATAATCCATTTCGTGTGAATCTTGAGGTATATACTAGTATCTTTTTCAGAAAGAAATGATTTGGGGTGTATGATAGATACATGTATTTGTCAATGATCATCCATTCATGATTATGTTTTAATTTTATCATTTTAAAAATGTCTTAATGAAGTATTTGTTCCATCCAGTAGATTTTGGAGAATCAAACCCTCCCCGAGTAATCGAAAAAAAATTTCATAACTTTTAAATAGCAAGATATATATTTAATATATTTTGTTAAAACTCCCTACAGTGATATCGCATTAAATTTCGAAATTGCAATCTCTATAACGGAAAGAATTAACTCAGTGGGTTGATGATTTATAACCACACCTTTCCTTGAAGTAGCAATCCAAATAAAATTTCTCAAAGAAGAATTTGGTTCACTGTATCTGTGTATGAATTATTCTGTTTATAAACGGAGATAGGAATCTTAAATAATATGTTTTTTCATACAGTCCGGTTATGATGAATGTGGTCGAACAAATCCCTTGCGATGTGAAGTTGGTGACCAAAGCAAGAAATTAGGAACTTATAATATTGGCCAGAGAAAGTTTTCCACTGATGTTTATTTACCATTGAATGGACCTCAATCTGGTTTGTATCTCATTTCTATAGCAGCATCCTCAATTTAAATTTCAACAGCTAAAAAGATTTTTTTTTCTGTATGAAACCACAGTCTTTATTGTATGCGGTTTTATTTTCCAAAGATTAACATGCTTATTCTCTATATTATACTACATCTGTATACACAATATCAAATTAATGGTCATTGATTTTCCAGATAGCTCGATATGGTTCAAATAAAGCTTCGTATTTTAATAACTTCTGTAGCATTCCTCGTATAACCGTATTAGCAATTAGCGGGGGTTCGGCAGCAATACGTTCAGTGTTCAGGCCCAATTATGTGAAATAATCTATGTTTAACATAGGAACAAATTTGTTTTCATTTTATGTAGAAGTGTTGTGCTTTACTTGCAATAAGTTCATTGTTCATGGTCTTGCATGTGGACATAAGATTAAGAACAGCTTTGATTTCATTTTAGTTGTTGGTAGAAGTATTGTGTTCCATGCTAAAAGCAAAGGTGCTCCAAGATTGGCATGTGCTAACATATTACCTGTACAAAACCTAGAACCATATATAATAACCATAAACAATCCGAATACTATAGATAGGTGAGACCGTCTTCGCAGCGCCTTCTAACTTTTGTGGTGAAATTGAATAATATTCATTATTTTTAAGTGGAATATGCTTCACAGACGTATTTTCTTCTCTGTCAAAACGTGTTTTGTATATAGTAACCTCATTGGCCAAAAATATGTAAAATTTTAGTTCTGTATTAAAGAATAAATACATATCAATATGAGATCATGTATACATTACAGAGAGCATAAATTAATAAATTGTTCACTTTAGCCTCTTAAAAGGTTATGATTCTCCTGTTTTAAATTTACAGACCTGCCTTAGCGGCAACTATTGCAAAAGAAATTTCAGCACGAAATTGGGAAGTTATCGTTCTCGAAAAGTCTGCTGATACAGTGAATTGTTTGGATTTACAAGTATATTTCATAGGTATGTAACTAATTTGGAAACGCTTAAAACTAATTTGATTTTATTGATTTTCTAGATTGTTGTTGTCTGATGGTGACCCCACTTGGCACTTAAAGCAATCAAATGCTTTGCTCATTTCAAGTTTTGAGTAGAACGCGTATAATTACCATTGCCATTTTAGCCAACTATATTATAAAAACATACCACTTTTAAAATTCAAATAAGCAATTCTCTAGAATTTCTGATATATTATGACTCTTTTAGGACCTAATGCTCAAAGTTTAAGAGAACGAGCTGTTACTAAAAGTAATGAAGGTGGTTATGCTAATTCATTAGACTTGTGTTCAGGTAGAGTATTTAAATGTTTTAATAAAATTTTGATGTGCCTCTGGGACACTGGTAGCATGAATTTTCACCATTTACCAGTCTGTGGTTCCTGCAATTCAACTAAAACTAAGTGTTTGATGACGTCACAAATCTCGAAACGCCTTAACGTGATAAAGCATATTTTTCAAACACTAATTTTTGTGGAACTGTAGGAACCACAGACGTCTGATATACAATTGTCCCTATTTTAAAAAGCAAATATTAAAGGACAGTATGCAAAATTTTCATAATTAAAATTAAACAATACATGCTAGATATTTATATCTATGAATATACTTATGGGATAATTAAAACGGAGAGTACAAATTACCGATGGAATGGTTTGTCCTAGTTTTGTTGTTTGGCTTTACAATGACTCGATACTATTTCCATTAAACTTTAGAATACGTAAGAGACATAGTTTCATAATTAGGCGTTTATTTTTCTTAAATTCCTACAGTAATTTTTTAACAGCTTCTAAAAAGCATAAACTTTTTAAATAGTTTGCCGTTGACAAATTAACAACTGGATTTTTTTAGTAAAAACATTTAGATACGGGACACAGTTTTCTAGATTTTGATGTAAAGTTTAAACAAATTTTGGTACAGAAAATTTTTCGTCCTACAAAAAAGCTGCATGCCCATTTAAATGGCCAAAAGTCGTAATATTTCATTAATTCTGTTATAAATCAATTTTCGTTAATTTAATGAATGTAATTTTAATAGTCAAAACAATACACACATCATTGAATGAAAATGTCTGATGATATTTTAGAAACTTTTTTCAATTTTATTCGGTTTCTGTCCATAAACGGTGTATCTTATAAGAATAGACACAATAATATATTGGAAGAATATAAGGATATTGAAATGGTTGTACTCATTAGTATAAGTGAAATAATAATAATATACTGGGTTTCGACGATGAAATTTAAAACCGATTAATTTGGTTGAACTATTCCCGTTACTGAGATATTGAAACGATTGATTTCCGAAAATGGCGATTCATGTCCTTTAAAATTAAAAAAAAAATCCACCACTTGATGAGTATCTTCCCCTTTGACTTGAGCAATTTTATGTTGTTTAATTTGACGAATTAGCCAATCGCATGACATAATAGCAATTAGAAATTTGGGACATTTGCCGAAACATTCTGTTAATGAATCAAAATAGCCATCTAAAAATCTATTTTTATAGTAAATGGTTTTCTCCATCATGCATGTTTTTGTAACCATTATCGGTCCTGTCATCATCATTCTTTTTTTATCATTTAAGGTTGTTCGGGTGTTTCTGCTCTACGTTATATTGTGGTGGTGTTTACTGTGGTTTGCATATTATTTTCATAAGTGTGAAATATTGATCTCAAATTTCTTCAAATTCGAATGCCTTAATCGAGTTTCATTACAGAGACCATTAGTTTTTTTTTTTTAGATCTTTAGATGTTTTCTGATACGATGTAAAGAAAGTTCGAAAGAAATGACAATGCAAATAATTAGTGACTGACTACTGTGGTTTTCAAGCTGAAATTGTTTCAAAACGTCTTCGGGATAAAACAGCAAAATTCTCCATAACTGGAGTGAAACGTTACTAAAACGTCAACATTTGTGTAACGCGAAAAGTTCGAAAATTCATTCTTGTATCTATATTATTGTTGTTTTATATAATGCTGAAATCAAGGGGCCATATTATAATGATTGTGCAATATTTGTCAAATGAGGTTTATAGTCCCGAATTTCTTTTTCAAATATGGTTATGCATCATAGAATCCTGAGCACGACGCGGAGATATACGGTTGTTTAGCATTTCATAACTAATACAGTGTAAAATTTGATTGGAGAATATAGGTTTACTGTTTTATTTTGTGAAAATAGTTTTTTGTCTTTTTAGAGTTTTTAGGGTTGTGCATATTTTGTGAAATTTTACTAATACACCAAGGTTCTTGACACCAAGACCTTGATACAGCAATACGATACTCCTTTCTGTTAATTTGAATTTCTCGATCAATTGAGCTATTTAGACTAAACTAAATTTTATTCTAAAGTTGGTGGAGCTAAAAATGGTGTCACCAAACTGTCACTTGGAATTGCCCTTGATAAGATATAAGGTTATCTAGATGATTTAATTATTCATTGAACATCTTACAAATATATTTATTATATATATATTTTTCCACTACTGATTTATGTTGTTATTCTTTATTGTTGATTCACAATAAATTGTTGCTGATTATTTGTATTCGATGTGTTAATGTTAATTTTATATTCAAAGAATAAAGGGAGCCGAGGTGGCTAAATGAGTTAGACGCTTGCACGCTATCCTGAAGGTCCAGTCCGGCAGTGGCGGAGCTAAAGGGATGGCAGAGGGGACAGCCTTGCATGGCGTTGCCCGTCTTCATTAGCCCACATGGTGCAGAAAAGTAGAACTCATTTCATTTCATTTCATTTCATTTCAATGAATAAAATCGTATGTAAAGGGTACTATAAGGTGTGCATGAAACAAAGTATGCAGTGGTTTCAAATCTGGACGGAGGTGAGCTTATGGAGCTTGCCAGGAAAAGCTTTCCTCGCTGCACGGCGATTTTCCTCTTACTTTATTTATGCAGGAGAATACTGTAGAGATGGGCGATGATTTGGGTCTTGAATATAGACTAATAGTCCTCAAAAGTACAAGAAATGTACGAAAATAGCATAATTACTTCAAAATACCTCAAACAAGCATTTTTGATTTCTCAATTTCAACAGTTTGCTGTAAATACTATTACTGATTAGTTTAGCTAATTTCAGTTTCTGAGACTAAGGTAAGATTGGTCACACGGATGTCGAATCTGCTACTTTAATACACCAATTAGTATAATCTCTTTTCACAATATATATCGCATTTCTGAATAATTAATTATATTCTAGTCTACAGTATATATAAAAACGTCATCAAAATAGGCTAAACCAAACGGATAGGAACCAAATGCAACCCAACCATTAGTTATTGCTACAGGAACAGTTACATTGAATATAAAATCAGAATTGACATAACCAGATAGCTGATTTCCCTGAAATTATAAACATGAAATGTTATATACGTACATGTAGCGTGAGATTCTAAGTAACAACAGTTTCTTGATGTGTTTCAATTTTACTTCCTGTTACTATCAAATTAATGATACTCGTTTATGAAATCGTCGTTTTTTGTCGAGTAAATATCGATGCACGCGTTCTATGCAGTTGCTATGATTATAAATATTCAGAAATTTCAAGTACAACCAAGGAGGACACATTTGGTTTCAAGGAACAAGAATGAAGACCGGTGTTCGTGTCCAGTACGCAGATACTTTATGTAGACGAGAGAGTTTTTCACGTACCTTTACAGTGAGAGATAAGTTATTCCACGAATCTTTTACATAAGCTATATTTCCTTGTGTTAGAACATTCTTTTGTACTGAAATAAAGACATAAGATAAAGAAGAAAAACTGAGTACATGTATTTTACAACAATGCATTATTATTACAGAATGAATCCAGCAATAAGTTGTTTTGCGACGTTTCTGCTCTAGTCATTTAGTGTCTCCGACCCGTGGTGTACAATTTTCTTCTACATGTACATCCATCACTCTTTCAGTTATATCATTGCTTCAAAATGTATTGTATTTAATAAAATCATATAGGCTCAAAAGTAAGCAAATTTCATATCCAGTTGTAAATACCAAATAATATAAGATTTCTATGCCTTTCACAATTGACGAATGAAAATAGGCCTTATACCATATATTGTTGAAAGTTGCATTTGTTTTATATATTATTCCACTTCCAAAAATACTATCAGTGGCGTATGTTTTCGCCTTACAGAATGGCATTGCTAGTGCCTTGTATTTAAATTATACCAGTTAATTTCCCACTAAACTTACACAAATCTGTTGACAGCACAAATCTGTGCTCTGTAGGATAAAAGAAGAAAAACAAGCCAGAAGATAACAAAGCTCGACATCCAGCAGTTGTTGCCCTTACAGCTAAATACACACTCTTACTTCCATTTACAGTTGGTATCATAACATTTACTTCAGCATGGATGTCTTTCCTAACCAAAAGAACGGAAAATAATTCGGAAACTTGATAGAAAATGTGTCAGAAACCGCGGCGTCTCAATGATTTACAGCATCTCTTATAATGATGAAATATGTGAGCTCTGATTTGTTCAGAAGACATTGCCAGATGAAGGGGGTTAACTTTGTGCAGGACAAAACTGAAAGGAAGTGGTATTTGCCACTAGTTGCTCGTTTACTACTTCCTAACAAACAAATGGATCTTGCCGTCGACCTTCGACCAATGATGTCATAATTTACCAACATCCGATTGACCACAGTTGTTAGTTTTTTCGATATTTCGCTGTCAAGATTAGAACATCTGCCTTTAGAGTCTTCGTTTTCTCTTTAGAGTTTGTGTCTTATTGTGCCATAATTTCTTTAATAAAAAGATCCAAGTATATAATTTGTGATATAATAATTATGATTACATTATAGAAAGAGGATAAGCCTACCAATTGTAATCGCCAAATACATTCAGAGTCGTATTTTCTTTGTCAATCTGACAATAAAACCAATGAACAGGTGGCTCTAAAACAGCCTGCTTCATAAACTTATTGCCATCCATTACATCCACTTCAAACGATCCAACTTGCTGAGAGAAATCAAAGGGCTCCTGACTGATGTTGTAAGCTGAAAGGGTGGTTGTTTTTATTAATTACGCCCATTCATCGAAATTATCAACAAATGTTATGATTGAAAGAATTCCTAGCGATTTGTTTTAGTGATAGGCATATTTAAAGAGCACCATGCACGATAAAAATTTCTTCCACCACGCTGAACTGGAATGCTATGATATTCGTTTTTATTACCCACGTTATATACACATTATCATTTATGTGAAATCAGTTGCAAGATCGTATTTGATAAATGGGAAAAATCTAGGAAGGAACAGAAATACACTTACATTCAAAATCCTCTTTGTATGGTAGTGAGAAGGGTTGTGGTTCTGGAATAAATGGGACACTGCCTTTATATCCAGTACTTACTGTTGTTAAAGTCCACAATTCGTTGATTAGTATATTAAGTTTAATAGTTCCGTTATTTATCTACAACAAAAAAATAATTAAAAACCGAATGAAACGTATAGTATACATCGAATGGTTTATGAACCTGGACACTGAAAGGGCTTTGTGGATCATAAAAATCTAAAGCAATATTGCTCATAGCAATAAAGAAAATTGGAACGAGAAATATCAAGGAATAGTAAATTAAAGTACCTCTGATACATACTTGTATTTGATCTTGTTTTTGAAAGGAAACTGGAATTAATTCATCATAACCAATACGACTATACCAAACGTTTAGCTTTTGTGTAATCTTTGCCTAGTTCAAGAGAAGAACACACGAATACCATTAGATTAAAATGACATGTATTTTAAATATTTTTTCGTGGGATAGTTAAGACATTAGATTGAATTGAAACTAAAGCAATCAGGCACAGGAAATCAAGGGTAAAAACTGGAGCCACGATGAAAAATAATTTTGCCTCGAAATCGAACCTATTGTGATTGATATAATTCAAACTATATCATTTTAAATCATTGTTGCAGATGAATGTAGACTGAACGTAATAAATCTTACCAATGAACCTTTCAGATCAAACATGGCCGTTTGAGATCCGGCAACATTATACGGCGGTAATGGTGGTCTTACGCAAATTGAATTATCATGACTCTTAAAGGCAAATAAAATACGCAATATTATTCGCAAGTAAACTAAATGCCATTAATTTCAGTCGGGAACGTAATTTATATGATAAGACAAGTCCAGTAAAAAATCTACACAACTATTTGTCGTCTGTATGCGGAGCTGAAGTAAGCATTATCAGTTTTTGCAGTACGCATTATGAGTCAGAAAACATTTAGATAGTCAACGATTTCAACAAAAACATGTAGTCAACATTATCAGCAAGTATAAGTGTATTCAACATATTCAGCAACAAAGAGAAGACATTTTCAGCAACAACATGTAGTCAACATTATTAGCGAAAAATGTGTAGTCAACATCATCAGAAGGGAAATATGTAGTCAACATAATAAGCAAGAAAATGTGAGTAAACAATATAATATTAGTAAATATCAAAACTGTTTTAAACTAACAGTAACACTGACCATTGTTTCTATAATGATAGTAAAATCCTTTTCGTCTGGGCTAACTAATACAACATAACTTCCACCACCATTCAACTTTCCAACACCAGAACCATGTTTTAAATATTTCCATCCAATTTGAGTAAACTGTGTTGTATGAGCTGCAATAGTCAATGGCAAAGGAAAACTGTTGTTATCAGCAATTATCTTGCACAAGCAAGATTGGGTTGTATTTTATATTCTTGAATTCCCTCATTTTGCCCATCTTCGGAAGAATATACTTAAATTCATTATATTTTCATTTACTATTTTACTATTACTAAGTTGCAAATTAAGATAATGCTTACCTGTTACCCAGATATTTGGTGCTACTATATAATGCCCAGACCATGGTTCACTGGCCGTCATCAAGCCTGATCCGTACCAGGGTAATCCATAATAATAACTTGATATTATATTCCAGATTATAGTCCTACGATACAATACACAATTGGGGTAATTTCAAACATTTGTTTTTTAATGCTTTTAATATAATACCCGTATTTTCAATGGCGAAACACATTTTCAGACAAATTACTCTTTTATCCAATAGTTCATATGCTAAAAGATTTAATTCAGTTCTCAAAATGTTCACCTAAACAATAAGTTCATGGTACTGGTAGTGGTTAACTTATTTTAGAAAACCTTACAAGGTTATATTGATAATATAGAGTTACACTGTGGATTCATCCAGTGGGCAGCAATTCTAAACGAATCTAAAAAATCCAAAACCACTTACGATGTCATGTATCCATTTACGTAATTCTGATTCAATGTCTGAAACGAATAAAACATCTTAATATCACTCTATATCGATGTTTCACATTCACTTAACTGTTTACATTAAATTGATGTGCATTTTTCTCTTTTTGGAAAGCCCGAAAGGCAATGAAGGACCATATTGAATGAATTTTGTAATAATTCGCTTCTCACTATAATTCAGCCTGTACTAATGTTTGTAGCCCTCTCTCAAGCTCTACAAAAGCTGTAGTCAATATCAATATTTGGTTTTCATGCAATCGTTGTCGAAGTTGCCGAATAAATAGTTTATCACCTATAGATATACAGATAACTGCTCAAAATAAAAACTCCTTCGCAATAAAAAAACAAAAGACGACTGGATTTCTTTAAGCAGTCTTATCAAGCAGTTCACAATACATGCCACCTAGGACTTACTCGAGCAAGACATCCAGGACCAACTATAGGATCTGTACAACCCCAGTCTTCTGATGCCCACAATGGTTTATTAGTACTGACAGCTTGAGTGTCTGAGAACGTACCAGGATAGTGAGTTCTGAAATAATGAAAAAAACGCACTTACTCTTGCTAAACATCCCGGACCAATTAGAGGATTGTTATCAGACCAATCCTCTGATGCCCATAACGGCTTGTTAGTATCGAGAGCTGATTGTGTTGACGTGGTGCCCGGATAATGAGTCCTAGAAGTAGATTGCGATATTTTGTCAATGTAAACAGGAATCCGTCAGATGAAGTACGGGGGAAATGAAAAAGTTCAGATTGGCTAATAAAGACAATCAGCGCTTTTAATCAGGATTACAATTGAGTAGTCAGAAAGAAACTCGGCGTTTTGTCAACATGAAGTTGAGCTTTATCTTACTCACCCCATTGCGTAAATCGAATGATTCAGTTGTTTATCATGGTCGATATCATTAGCTATTGGCCAAGCGGATTGATCCGAAGCTATAATCATAGTTTTTGAGAATCCAGCCGTGTCTAGTGACTTTCGAAGAATCTAAATAATTAGAATGTTGTATAAAACCAGCCAAGCCTTGAACTCACCCAATGGCATGTACCGCATCAGCAAGTTGTTGATCGCGAGCTATATCATCAGCTATGTCCCATTTCCCATCGGCAGCGATAATTTTGGTTTTTGAAAAGCCAGCATCATTCAATGTCTTTCGTAGTGTCTGTATGTCAAAAAACAGAATAGCTCGTAATCTTCGTATTGTTCACTGTAGACATGTTGATATAATCTCTATTCGATAACAACACTTGCTAACAGTGCACTAAAATCTTAAATGCGGACCCCTGGAAATAGATGCAGCGTTGCCAAACCATGTCAGAGAGTAATTCGTAAATAGGAAGTCTGTGCTGGTGATAAAATTTAATCAACAAAATTACTAACCTTTATATAAGAAATATTGTACGGACTTTCATTCCATATCTAAAAAGTAAATAAATTGCAGGATTAGACCTGTGTTTCATTCATCCCACACTGCATGTGAGTAGGAATACGAAGCTATCATGTTCAATAATGAAATTAGTAGATGAATGAATGCACATTTCTAATTTTAAATATTTCATGAAGAAATCGCTGCAGAACTAGGTCTTTGCTTCTTGAGTAATCTACATATTCGCATTACATTGATGAGCGACACATTGGTTAAGATTTTCGTCTAAGGTAGATTACAGATTTTAATAACCAAATAAATGAACCGTGATGGTCCATCCAACAGCCAATCTGACATACTTCGTCTAATATATATACATACCCCGATGAAGTCAATGTTCAACTTATGATGTTCTTTAGCCCCTTTTACCCATGTAACAATATAATCAGCAGTATGTTGAATATTACCCCACGGAGTTCCTTCAGCATCCCTCAAAAACCCTGGAAATCCCCAAGGTAACCCATATAGCTTTATATCAGGGTTTCTCTGCAAAGAAAATCATGATTAGGGACAGGGGATTGATAGTTTTACATATAATTTGGGTTGGTTGAAAACTATATATTTTTGAATAATATTTATTCAAATTTCCACCGTTATTACGTCATTCCAATTCCCATAGTGTGCCTTTAATAATTGCTGCAGACTCTAACGATAATAAGACAAAATGTGAACATATATTATACATTTAAAGTACAAGTATTGTCACAAAAAGGGCTCTTAGGAACATTATTGAAGTTGGGTGATGAATGAATTCAGTTAAGTGTCATGAATCGAAAAATGATCTAACCTTTTTGGCTTCTTTCATTAACCACCATTCATAACCACGATCAAAATTTAAGTCCCAACTATTGTGCATGTGGGATGCTTCTGTTCCCTCTAGAATCAAAAATAGGTGAATGAAAAAGTTTAACACAAAAATGTTTAGGCCTAAAATAAGACAACACGCCAAGAAATTTCAATGGAGCCCAGTGTTGTTCGTGGTCTTTAATCATCCCTTTGGCAAAATAATTGAAAAGACATAGCTGAGATTGAGGCTCTTAGATTTGAGAACTCACCAGCATTCGAAATTATCAATTGATAGGAGCATTAAATAATTACCTGTACTTTGCATATCACCGCCAATTTCAACTTTGAAAATGTGAAGAGAGGCCCCATAATTTGGCTAAATGAAAAAAATGCAACCTTTATATATTCTATAAAGAAATATAGTCTAGTAATATTTCTGGTGTGCTATACTCATTGGGAACAATCACTAATAATTAAAATAGTCGTTTCCATAGTTCCTTCAACTTTAAAACGGTCATATATGTAAATACAGATACAGCGTCTCCTTTGTAGAAGTATGTATACAATTAACATCCCGAATCATAATGTTGTCTTATACACTACAAGATTGTGGTCTCTACATTCGATTTATATTAACTTTACATCTATGGCAACTGCAGGTCTATTGATACAAGGTTAAGGAATCATTCTTACCATAAATAAAAAGTCCAAAATATCAGATCGTTCAGGATCAGGGTAGTTCATCAACAATTTAGATGTTGCCTGCAGAAGATACAAGCCGTAAACAAATAACAAGTAAATTGCAATTCGAAGAGAAACCAAACAGTTTCTCTGCCCTGTTCTTATTTGTGGATAGCAAACGATATCAGCTAGGGCCTAAAATTTGACAAAAACAATTGAAAATATAGAAAAGAGATACGAATTCGCTTTTTAGTAACAACCATTTTTTTTTACTAATAGTTAGCTTTCCTGGAATCAGAAATTGCAGTTGCAAATCGTGAGAGTTCTTTTGAAAAATCAGATCTCTGAGTTCATGCAATTGATAGTTGTTGCTAGCAGTCGGTCAATCGACCTTTACAGACATTACATTATAAATATATTGACAAAACGTACCCCACCACCACTGATAGCTCCGATACCATCGAATGTTCTGCCATATCCACCCGAACTATCTACAATATAATTACTGTCCTGTGTACAATATCCACAGGATAATATAGACAGTAGTAAAATAATTCGGTACACCATCTTCACAGATAAAGTCTTGGCCTACTAACTAAGACGATAATTAACTCATAGCTGTCTCTTCATTCAAGGTCAATTGATTAGATAAAGTTAAAAGGTATCTTTTTAGTGTGGTCGACCTTAAACTACATAACTGTAACTTCAGACTGCAGAGAATTAAAACGCCCATCTCTTGACGCAATTTTCCTCAATATGTCAGTCCAATAAATTAGAAATAAAGTGGGGACATGTGAGATAAACTGGTATTTCTCCAAGAACACCTATTTTCTATTCATATAGGTATTAGCATTTTCATTTTCATAAATGAAAATAACGGAACCCATCTTTAAAAGCTCACCTATTTCCTACCTGATAGAAAAATAGGTTTCATGATCTTGCCATTTTTCTCGAAAGGAATTCATACTGAGCTTGACTAAACTAGAGATCAACTAACACTACATGACATGGGTGGCGCAAAATATTGTGTTATAATGGACAAGAAACGATATGGGGTAATTGTAACAACTTGGAATATAGAGAATTCAAACTTAACCAACTCAACAGAACAGAATCGCTGAAAGAAAGCGTTAACTTGTCATCTACCAACCGACCATTGAAACTAATACCCCTTTCGCACTGCACAACTGAATTATTGAATGTGGTTATAACCGAATAGAAAAATCCGATTCAGTTCGGTTCGATTCGGTTCGGTTCGGGTTGCTTTCGCACTGCAATCCTATCTGGATAGCCGCTTTCGCACTGCCGAGTCAAGTTATCTGGATAACTTTTTATTTTTAGTAACACATCATGTCACGTGACAAAACATTAAAAACAAATATGGACGCTGGCAATTATAATTGGAGCAACGACGAAATTCGCTGCATGCTCGCTGTCTGGGGGGATACTAAAATTCAAGATGAATTAGTTGGCATGAAGAGGAATAAACATGTTTTTTCAACTATTGCCAACTCGTTCAGATTAATAATACCAGCTCTCATCCACCATTCCGACCTAGGTTGCACCCACAGTTGACGAGACTGAAATTCCTTGTTTATAATAAAAAATATGAAAATAAAAACAAAAGGATTTTCTGTTTCCTCTTCCGATATATATTTATTCTTTTCCTAGACAATTCGTGTACTTTTTCAATCCCGTCAAATACCATTATAACGTACCCGCCAACAGGAGCCATTTTGAAGTGCTTATACACGTGACACCCCACGTGATAAACATATCCGGATAACTTCTTGTTTGGTTTCGCACTGCCACTTATCTGGATCGTATCCAGACGAAATCCACCTCTTGAGGTAGATTTTTCTATCTGGATAACTTCTGGTTATAACCGTATAAGTTTTTTGCCAGTGTGAAAGCAACCAGAAGTTATTTGGATAGAACTCGATAGAACCGAATTACTTTTGCAGTGCGAAAGTGGTATTAATGACAGACATTCAACAACTTTGTTATCAATATTTACCTTTCAATTGCAAATACTTCTACAGCAAAAATAAACAAAATTATCCGTTGAAATCTGAAACAACTAACACTTTCTGTTTCCCTAAACAGATGCACAATGACTTAAACTTTTGCGCGATTCAAAAATACAAAATGTTTGGTCATTTCCATCTTAAGGGTCAGTCTGAAATCAGCTGGGGCTACACACCAAATCTTCCAAATGCCGTCGTTTGATCACTACCAGAAACGCACAGTCCAAGTGTAGACAAACTCATGTTACTTACATGATAACTGTTTTATTGTATCCTTTTTCTTATATTATCTTTCGTTGTGATTTTCAGGGTGGATTTTCTGGCTTTATTACAGCGCGAGTGTGTCCTGGGTGTTTTGAATACTTAGTAGAGAGAAAAGCACGTGCATGTTTGTATAGTTGGTAACCTGGTTTGTGGATTGATCAACATTCAACAATGTTTTAATCTGAACAGGATATATATTTTTAAATGTATCTTTTTGTTGACACTGTTGCCTTTTATTTAGTGTGTTTATCCGACAGGGAAATTCTAATGGAACCCGCAAATGCTGTAGTTTGTGAATAATGCAACGCTTTTAGTAAGATTCTTATTTTTTCTTTGCTGTTCTCCTTACTTTGTTTACACAAACGCATTTTGCCAATTTATTTTAGTATTAAATGAAATATAAACTAAGAGATACTACTGAGAGTCTCAGATCATGCAAATTCTAAATACTGAAAAAAAAAATGTTATTTTAAAAAATGAATTACAGAAGACAATTTGTAATTTCCAAATGTTGGTCATTGTAACAATTCCATTGAAGATTTCAATTAAGGAATATTCCAAACATGAGTCATTCTTTTTGAAATCACAAAGAGTCACACATCAGACAAAGTATTATCCCCCTTTGACCGCAAGCTATCTACATTTATTTTGTCCTCACTGCATAAAAATTGCATTGAAGTCGGCAAAGACAAGTTTAGTAATGGAGAAACAACTTACATGTGAAAAATTCTGCTATTTTATAAAATTGTATTTGCTGATTGATTTCGAAATCTAAAGTTAATTCGAAAAGTGCATGAAATGAGATATACGTTCAAACTGGCTATATTTCTATTCACGGTATTAACTAATTCAATAAACAAAACTGAAGGCGGCTGTCGCTAGTGAGGCAGGCTCAGACAGGCTCATTCTTTTCGATTTCCTGAAGCCACTTTGCGCCTTGTTTACTTTGACATCTTTCTTGTAAAATCTACATTGCTTATATCGTTTACTTGATATATTTGTTATTTTGGCCACAGACCACACTTGTGTTATATTATCTCCCTTTGACCATATTCAGTATATGGATTATACACCCGGAGACGTTTCCAGTCATTAAAACGGTGTAGTCTATTTTGTTTCTTGGTTTGAACGAATGGGTATTAAAACTGTATAGAATAGAACATTAGGGTATTTTTGAAAATTCGACTTGAATAATAAGCCACATTACTGCGTTTTATTCCGTATTACTCTCTTACATTTGTAATGTCTGACTGGACTTCTTTGAATAATTTCAAATTCAAAATATCATTATTTGTGTGTCATTGGTATTAGAGCATCTGCGGGTCCAAAGAAATAATATTATGTTTGTTTGATACTTTTATCTATAAAGATAAATATCTTCTTAGATGATTTATATTGAAAATGACAATTTTAAATTGTATTTGGATTATCTAAAACCTTTCTTTTTAAGTTGATGTGCAAATTGTTATTAAATTACTTTCAGAAATGCAATTTTGACAACTAGTAATCGGACGGTATACTATTGAAATAAACTAGTGTCCAAAAGAAACGATACCACCTGTTTGCAACGACATAAAAGAAAAACTAAACAATGCAGAAGTTTAGGATTGGTGTTATGCTTTTGAGAAATCCTTTCACAACATCTGTACAAAAATTTCATTTCAATAAAATCTGTACAACCAATATGACAAGCCTTTAAAGATGGGTGGGGTCGAAAAAAGAACATTTCGTTAGAGCACTGATCACAGAAACAACGGGAAATGTCACACCACACGTCACAAAGTCAGTAGCGGGTATGTCCACCACCAGCATCAATACATGCCAGAACACGCCTACGGACTGATGCCGTCAAACGTCTGATGACGTTGGGAGTGATTCGTTGCCATTCCTCGAGGAGACATCGTTCCAAGTCCTGGACGTTGACTGGAGGCACACGGCAAAGTCGGATTTGCCGATCGAGGTGGTCCCATAAGTGCTCGATGGGATTCATGTCCGGTGAACATGCGGGCCATGGTAAAACCTGTACGTTGGCGTTGGCAAGGAAGTTCTGTATCAATCTTGCTGTGTGCCCTTGCATTGTCATGTTGGAAAAGGAGTCCACGAGGCTGTTGCTGAATAAAGGGCACCACAACAGGCCATAGGATGTCGTCAATATAACGCTGTGCATTCAGGTTTCCACGAATTACGAAAAGCCTCGTTTTGACGTCACCACATACGAACGACCGGACCTGTTGGATAAAGTTAGGCGCCAAACGTTCACCAAATCGTCAGTATACAAGCTGCCGTCCATCGTTTTTGAAGATGAGGAATCTGCTCTCATCAGAGAACATAACACGTGCCCAGTCCCGCCGTTGCCAACGTCGAACTCGCCTGGTCCAGATCAGTCTGTTGTTCCGGTGTCGAGGCGTCAGGAGCGGTCCGCGGTAGGGATGACGTGGCCGGATACCATACTGCCGTAGTCTCCTGTAGACGGTCTGTCGACTGATCCTGTGTCCCAGTGCTGTAGCCGCCGTGGACGTCGCTGTTACGGTGCGGTTCCTCAGGTGTAATACCCGGATGTACCGATCTTCATGGGACGTGGTTACTCGTGGTCTTCCACTCCTGGGCCTGTCTGACGTCTGACCTGTCTGACGTAACCGCTGCATCAACCTGGTGATAGTGATGCGTGCGCAGCCCAACCTTCTGGCGACGTCGACGTGTGTCGCTCCTTGTTGGACCATTCCAACGGCTCTCTCTCTGTCGATGGCTGTCAAAAGTGGCATATCTTGTGTTCTTTTTGTTGCTGTGATATCAACGTGTCTGATGAGCCGTTTTATACAGTTTTTATGCACGTGCAGAACATGCTAGACAGGGAAATGTCACTTTCACGAAATTTACGTTTTTTCCCCGAAGTGATCACGTGTTCCCGGTATTTTTATCGACTATGCTGTGTTTGGGATGTGCAATACGAATTGGCATGTTTTCATATTAGACAATTCACTTAGTAAAAAACAATTTTGAAAATAAGTTGGTATCGTTTCTTTTGGACACTAGTTTATAAAAAAATTGTGATCACACGTTAACTCCAATAGTCCACGATTAACGGTGGGTTCGTTTTGCCGCATTGCCCATTTTGCCGCATCGTGCCCAACTGCACTATAACGACTTGTAAAACGAAACTAGAGGTTTCTGATAAAATCCGGAATGACAATTTGTTTCACATGAAACGAAGTATTTTAATCTGTTGCCCTGCATCGATTTTCTTTTTATTCATAATTTGGACCTGTTAGGGAAATCGAAAGTATAGTTTTATGGTAAAATCTGGAATAAAATAAATACCAATATCATGTGAAACAAATAGTCATTCCGAATTTTATCAGAAACCTTAGTTTCGTTTTAGAAGTCGTTTTTGCGCAGTTGGGCAATGCGGCAAAACGAACCCACCGCACGATTAACAACAATTGACGTTGGAATGTTTCTTTGCAAATTTTTGTAATAAAGGCCATGTAAATAGTTGTTTGAATATAATAAAGATGCACTGCTCTGATCCCTTAACTATGCCTGTGTGAATAGCCAAATGAGGACAAACACTCAGTTTTGTTTTGTCTAATATCTTGACATGTATCACAATATTATACACTGTAATAACCTTGAACTTTAGAAATGTTGTAAAATTTAAAGTGACAATAAATTGACCCAAGCTGAAATACATAACGAAAATATGATTTGAAACAAAAATAGATAAAAGAATTGATAATAAATTATTTTATGTGAGATATACCATAAAATTTGCGACCCACCGACTAACGTATACATTCCATGAACGCTACTACTAATAATGTACAGTTGGAGTTCTAATACTGACCCAATAAATATTAAACAGACCCACTTTCTAAAATAAAAAGGAATTTTGCAATTTACTTAAAAGTTAATAGTTCGTAAAATATCTTAACATGAATAAATTGTCTCTTAAACCATACAATTTCATTACAAATAAAATGATCGTTAGTAAGATAACTTTAAAACAATCATTAGTTATCCATTCCGCGGGGCCCTGAAGGAGTCGGTATGTCTATTGGATACGCTTGGAGAGTTACAGCCCCTCAAAGTCGGGGTTGTCGCGAAAATGGCTTAATTTGGACCAGTTTTTCGCCTCTAGTTTTCCACCAAAACGCTCGATATAACTTTGAATCGAATTTCTACCATCTCTGGGGCCCCCAAGTTCCAACATAGCCAAAACAGAGAAACAAATTTTTTGAGAAATTTCTTGACCAAAATGACTAAAGATGGCCGCCGACTGGGACAATTAAGCAGGGTGAAACTTTGAAAAACAGCTACCGTAGGCAGACGGTAGGTGCTACAGAGCTGTGCTTTGCAGGGTAGTTAGGCCAACAATAGGCCTTTATGTCATAATAGACCAGCTATGTCTATTGGATACGCTTGGAGAGTTACAGCCCCTCACAGTCGGGGTTGTCAGTAGTATATGTCTTTTCGGATATGACGCATTTCACTTCTGCGCATGCGCAGCTTTTTCAATGCGTCATATCCGAAAAGACACAACTGTTAAAATGTATTATAACACACTCCCGAAACTGTTAAAATGTATTATAACAGACTCCCCAAACTGTATTATAACAGACTCCTCCAAACTGTATTATAACAAACTCCCCAATTATAAATTACCGAAACCACAGATCACTAATAATAATACAGTAAAAAATAACCGCATTAAAAATGTCTTTAATTTTAAAACACGAACAAAAAAAATCCGAAGGAGACGGTTTCTTCTCTGCGCTAACATCTCTCATCCCCAAAGTGGCCAATTTTGTCTCAAACAACAAATCCCTCATTTCCTCAAGAGCGCAAGCTCTTGGATCTGTGGCAAAAGCAGGAGTAAATATTAGTGATGCAGTGAAAAAATCTAACGAACTTAAAGAACTTCAGCTAATAAGAGAACTAAGAAATAAGAGACTAGAAAGACAAGCCTTAGAAAAGCAAGGAAAAGGGTTTAAAATCATTGGATAAAAATGGCAAGTAAAAATTACAGATTAGATCCAATCTTTTAATTGTATGATCCGATTCAATATTCGTTCAACAAGAAGAAAGAGGATTACGTAATCATCTCACCATCGGTAGGGACAAAGACCCAAATAAACGACGGAGGAAGAGTTACCTTTGAAATTAATTCATTGTCCAATTGGTTGCTGCTTTCCGATGCCCATTTCCGATGCGATTTCAAAGACGCCACTCAGAATCGAATTCCACAAACCAACACGACTTTAGAAAACAACTTCTTTCCGTCTTTATTCAGCGAAATGGTTTTGGAAGCTGGTTCAAATCCTATAGAGACCATAAAACACCCCGGCGAGTTTGACACAATGTTGAAAACGGTTCTGTATCCCAAAAACTACGATTCAGTTTCGGGATGGATTCCCGATGTCGGTGACGGAGAAGTTTTAAAAGAACCGGTCAGAACTGTAGCAAATGATGCAGACCTTGCTAGGATAAGGGTAGTTGCTAGAAACACGCTGGAAAGAGTGACTCGCGGAGTAAATCACGGATTTGAAAAACGAGCGCTTCAATACAACAATGTCGTCGAGAACAACAGATGGGGTAATTACGTAAATTGGAAGTTGTATCCTTTATTTGGTCTCTTGGAACACAGAAAGGTTTCCATAGGTTTACCGTATAAAATTCATTTGCAAAGAGAAATCAACAACGATAAGATATTCTTTGGAGAGAATGGTTCAGATGCAAAATTGGAAATAACGAATATCCAACTTTACATACCGGTAATTACTCCTTCTGTAGAAGTGGAAACGAGAATATTCAACTCTTTAACCAAAGACATCGAAATTGCTTTTCTTCGTCGTAACACGGTAGGTAACATGACTTTAACGGGAGAATCCACCACGTGGCCAATTACTAACACCGTCAAACCAGCGAGATATCTAATGGTCGGTTTCAAAAACTTGCCAGACTCTCAGACAAACAACAACAACATTTTTAGAGTGGCATTGAACCATACTCAAGATCCCATCATTCGCAAAGTTCAAGTCAGATTGAACAATGATAATTATCCCAATCAACCTTTGACAATTGATCCTTCCAAAAAAGATTACAACGAATTGTACAGAAACTATAAAAACATGTGCGAATTGTTTGGAAATACGCCTCAGTTTGAATACACAGATTTTTCACTCAATCATCCAATCTTTTGTTTCGATCTGTCAGCTCATCAAGAAGATCTTTTCAAAACAGGGGTAAACATAAATATTCACATCGATAAAACACAAGGAGATGTGACCGGCTACTGTTTATTGCTGGAAGAAGCAAAACATTTGATTAAAATATCAGATAGAAGAATGATAAGAATTGAATAAAAAAACACCCTTTAAAAATGAAACCAGAAACTTTAGTTATGAAAATAATAGACGCTATGGAAACGAATTCGCCGACTCTAATAACTTACAACGGTAAAAAAGTGCATATAACCCAAAAGATTATCGATAAATACAAACATTGCAAAGTCAGAGACGATATAGACTTGGAAAGAATTGATGAGAATTTAACTAAAAAAGGTGGATTTTTACCTTTCTTACCTTTAATCTTTGCTGGTTTAACTGCAGCTGGTGCAGTCAAAGCTGCCAACGCAAGTAAAGCAGCTGCAGTAAAAGAAGCTGAAGAACGTAGACACAATTTGGCAATGGAAAGAGAAGCACGAGGAGGTTCGGGAATAGGAGATATATTAGGGACGGTTAAAGAATTCGGACAAAGATTTGGCGAAGAAACCAAGAAAACCGTTAAAGAGGGATTAAGCAAATTAATAGATAAAATCGACACCGGAGAAATGGAGGTCAAACACAAGGGTGACGCCATATTTTTTAAAAACATACGTTCGGGCGAGGGAATCTTCCTTTCAAAGTATAAAGGCAACGGGGTGATTTTTGGTACGAAAATGTAATAAATAAAAATGGGCAAGAAATTTAATCATTCGGAAATATTTCCTTATAACCCAATGCTCATGTGTATATGCGGTAGTTCAGGTTCTGGGAAAACTCATCTCACTTTTAACAACACCAAACCTTTTAGATTTCGATTCTCTGTATATCTACACAACAACACCAGAGCAATCGTATTATCAATTTCTCAAAGCTTTGGAATATTTACCAAAGAAAGATGTTCAAGACCTATTTCAATATTACGAAGAAAACGAAGAAGTGGAAATAAAAGATATCATAGATAACTACATCGAAGGAAAGAATCCAACGGATATAAAAGTTTTTCTTATGAAAAATGTCTAATATTGATAGCAATCGAAAGAACTTAATATTGTTTGACGACTGCGTAGCGCAAAGAAATCAAACTGTTCAACAAGAATTCTTCACCAAAGGAAGACATCACAACTGTCACTGCATATACCAACCCCAATCTTTTTACGGGATGGATTCTATGTTCATTAGAAAAAATGCAAATTGTTTTTTATTATTTGAATTAAACGATAAAGATTTATCTCAAATCATTCAGTCTATAAATCACGGAATGGACAGAGATACATTTAAAAAGGTTTGTAAAGCTCAATGGAGAAACCCAGATGATCATGGATATGTATTTGTAAATACTAGAAAACCTGCGGGAGAAAGAGTTATGATCGATATATGTTAATTTTATTTTTTTAAAAATGACGGATTGGAATAATTTTTTAAAAAGGAATAGAGAATATATCAAAGCTAAGAATAAAATAAAGACCCAAGTTGAAAATAACAGATTACAACAACTCGGATTAACGGAAAATCTACAGACTCTATTTCAACCCATATTAAAATCTCAAGAGGATATTAAAAAGAAATTAGCTTTAGAATCCACAACTCCTATAGAACCCAAACCGATTGAATATAATGGTATTATAATTAGGACATTAGATGATATAAAACGTCTTTTTTCAAACCCTGACTCAGATTTACCAAAGAGCATTTCACCAATCGTTGATAATCAAGGTTTATTGTTTAATGGATTTAGAATAATATTTAGTCCAAATTCCCCTTTATTCAAAATCGACACAAAAGACTATATATTTACATTAACGAAAGGATTAATAGATTTAATGAATGGCGAGGATGTTGAAATCGCCGATTACAAGGATTTAGTTGCATACTCAAAATTTCTACATGCAATAAGAAAGTCAGGACCCGAAACAAGAAGATTGAAAGAAGTTGAAACCTATTTAGATAAAGTTATTCCTGATGAAGAGAAATCAGACGATTATGCAGAAGATTATCCACCAATCATACGAGAAATAGACGAATTCGATGATATGGTGGCATCTGGACAAGGCATAACGTTTTTATCCGACGACAATAAAGAATTGCTTAATAGATTAGAAATAATATTAGCGGCCATGAAGGAAGGTCATCGATCGAACAGACAATACAACGAAGTCAATGCCATATTAAAACGACTTTTGGAGAAAGAAATCATCACTAAAAAAGACTATATAAACGTCATTAAAAATGTCCAATAAAGAACAATTGTTCGTTATCACCTCGAATAAACCAGACATCAAATTGTCTCTAGACTACGAGTATGAACTCGATCGCAATAAACAGTACGAACTGGGATTAAAGTATTTCTCCGTTTACAATTCCATTAGAAACATCAACGAAAAAAACAATCAACTAAAAATATCGACGGATAACGGAGTTACGTTCGAAACCATAAGCTTACTACCGGGAAGCTACGAATACGTAGCCATCAACGAATACCTATCCGAATACGCAGGAAGCGTGAACGGCAAAAACAATATCGAATTCGAAGGTAATCTGAATCTGAACAAAATAAAACTGATCTTGAGAAATAACAGTCAAGTCGATTTCAACGTAGAAAATTCGTTGAATGCGTTACTGGGGTTCGATAAACGAATATACGCGCAATCGACATTGGCGCCGCAGAAGGCCAACATCGAGAACGATATCGACGTGATCAACATTCACTGTAATTTGATCAACGGTGGATTTTTCAACAAGCACAAACGTCAAATCATATACAGCATACCGACTTTTACGGTGCCGATCGGATACAGAATTATAGAGAAACCGTTTCAAACGACCTATTTACCAGTCAATTCTTTCATGATCAAAGATATAAATCTGGAAATCAAAGACGGTAAAAATAGGTTCATAGACTTTGGCAACGAAGAAATTGTCATTCAACTTCATTTAAAACAATGTTCATTCTCTTCTTGAATAGTAAGAAAATCGAAATCATCAAATTCATAGTTTTCGTCAAAACTATACTCATCTTTGTCGTTGTAAGGATACATAATTCCTTCACTGTTTGGTGGTTTTCTTTTAACATTATTCAAATAACTTCTAAAAACTTTAGTTTGTTTATCATTTGGAATAACTACTCCATTGGTGAAACTTTTTTCCCATGGTTTATTAAATTCGTTCGACACATCATGTCCGCTTGCTAACAGAACGTAATCTTCTACACTTATCTTATCATTAGAATAACCTTTAAACGTTTTCTTTTCTTTTAAAACACCATCAGAAGTCAAAACGATGTTGTATTTGACTTTTGGTGCTAAATATAAACCAAATATAATTCCACCGTCACCGTAATCGTTTTTACCTTTGCAATAGTCTTTTTCGGAGACCAAACCAGCTCTGTTTAGTTTTTTCCAATTTTTGGATGAAATGTACAAACTATCTGTGTCGGTATAGTATATTTCGGGTTTATAAAATCCATTTATGACGTGAATGAAATTGTTCATTATTTTTTTACTGTGAGATAAAACGAATGATCCCAAATGACTAGGTGTTAGTCGTGTAGATTTACTATCTTCGGTAGTAATCTCTTTTTCTTCAATTTCCGTTTCAACAATATATTGAGTATCATTAATTTTCTCATAGGTTTTAACGCGTGAATCAAAGTTGGCCTGTAAAGTTGCTTCATTCCATAAATGTCTAGTTGTGAATATATCTTTCTGAATTGATTTACCATACAAGGAATTACCTAATAATTTCATGCAGTTACTACCCACGATATTACCTTCTCGTTTATATTTATTTCTTAAATCTCTCAAAATAAAATATAATCTCTATAGGGTGGAGTTTAAAAATTTTCTTAAACTATACCATCTAATATTCTAATAATTCGTCCACCGGCTTTCACTATTTCTTGAATATCAACCGATGTTAAAACGTCGTGACAGAAACCATTTCTGAACCTGATTTTGTTACCAGTTTCCTTTTTACCTTCTTTATTCGTGAAAGTGATTTTATCTTTAGCTGGTATCGGTTGGAAGAACATGTTTTTGGGATAGTCAAACCACACTGTTAAAATAGCTGTTCTAGGTCTGAACTTTTGTTTATTGAACAGCATCACAAATTCTTTTTCTTCTTCTGGTAGAAACGGTCTTCCACTTTCCGCTCTCGGATATTCACTGTCTAAATCCGACATGGCGGAAGCGTATAAACTGTTAGCATCAAATGCCATTAGTTTAGTACATTCTATTTTTTTAAGTCTCGAATGAACCTCTGTTTTGCCTTTTGTGCTTGCGCTGTATTCTTTGAATAAATCAATTATGTTATTACTTTCACTTTGTGAAATATATTCCTTTAATACGTTACAATTTTTTCCATTTTGTTCGTTTCAAATGATTTTCTATTTGCCGAAACTCTTCCTCCTTTAATAGATCGTCTGATAAAATTTCTTATAAAAGGATTTGTGTGCGAATAAACTTTTTCTGTATTTTCTTTTTCGGTATGTTTCGCAACCATTCTAGTAGTTGTATACCATTCTTCTTCCACCATTTCTTTATCGTAATGATATAAATAATACCAACCCTTTAAAGATAAAGATGGAGCCGTTAGATTATTGGACATATTCTGGTTTACAACTTCTTTCGTGACTTGGTTGTATTTTATCAAACAAGCTCCCAAACAGAGAGTGTCTCTCTTGGCGTAAGGTTCCCATTCGTGTCTCTCAATTCCTCCCAGTTGTCTCGCGTGTATTTAGCGATATCTACGTCGGCAATCTTTCTCAAATTCGCGGGAAGATTGGAAGAATTTCCCCATGCAGCCAAACTAGAGGATTCGTGTTGATAGGAACACGTGAAATTTATATGTTGTAAATAATTACCCTTTATTTCTTTCTGTCTTTTCCATTTTTTCTGTAAATCTTCATCCGAGTATGGATTAGATAAAGGAAAAGATAGAATTCCTCTGGGTGTTTTTAAAGGGCAATGCGTTAGTTTTTTTGCATTTTTAAGCACGATCCAGTTGTCGAATCCACTGCCGTTATGAGAAATTAATATTAATCTCTTTCTATCATATTGACCTAGATATTTCAACATTTGATCGATGCAAATATATTCTACTACATTCATTAGTTTATCATAAAATTCTTCTGGAAGGGGATCTGATGACTTTAAATCTGGAAAGAGATTATTTATTCTGTTTAACATTTTCCTTAGTTTTTCTAAATTAATTAAAGTGCAGGCATAAGGAATTGCTCTTCGCGTGTCTTTTTCTGAATACGTTTCGCAATCCCAAGCGAATAACGCATCATCGCTCATACTCGAAAGCACGTTTAGTTTGAGGGGTGAAACCTGTGTTACTGCGTTGTCGTCTCTACACGTTTTCCACACCTGTTCGTAATTGCCTTCTATTTCTTGAATTCCCAAACTTTTTTGGCTTCTTCTAATCAAACAGAAATGCGAGTTGTGTAAGTACAAAACCCAATCTAATTCATCGTGAACGTCTCTGGGGTGAAAATGTCTGTTTTTTGGGATTATAAATTTGAAACGAAGTGTTAAATTTCTTGTTGAATTCATTCATTCTAGCACAAGTCATCACTCCTTTTCTATTTGCTTTTGAAAACCCGTTGATGTATTCTTGAAATTTACACGTTAAATCTTTGTTCAAAACACCATTGACGCATTTGATAAAACAGTGACCATCTGTAGGTTTTCGCCTTCGTATTCTGTGATTCCCTTCCTCGACTATCTCTCCATCTATTTTAATTTGTCCTTTGAATGTTTTAAATTTATCAGAGATAGCCTTGATAACATCGGAAAATAGGGTGTTTTCTATCAATGTTTCATCAAGTTCGATTTTAATCATATTTTTTTAAGTGTATATTTTTGATTATTTCTTTATTTTGACCGCTGATATTTCTGTATGGAATTTGTCCAAAATTTCATTGAATTCTTGTAATTCTTCAACTGTTATGTTCTTGTCTTCTCTCAATCTTTCGAAAAAGATGTATAATTGATTAAGATACATATTCAAGATATCCGTTTTCTTTTTATAATGAGCTTTCTTTTTGCTCGTGAAACCTATAGCAATCAAGCCACAAGATGAAGTTTGAATAGCAGTAATTGTGGCTAATACAGTTGGGACAAGTACAGGAACCATTAATCCACCAGTCACGGCCGTTGCAAGTGTTGTTCCTATCGTTAGAACTACACTCGCTGTTTTGAAAACAGAATTGATTCTACTCCATGTTTTCCTGCATGAATTGTACTGTCTCAACTTTATTTTCAACTCTTCTTGTTTGTCTATCATGTATTGTTGTCTGCTTTCGAGTTCCATTTTTTAAGTCGTTAAATTAAGTGAATTTCCGATAAATAGAACCACGGAATATCATATAGAGCGTGCTTGTTTGGCCTAGCATTATTATATTTGCGGGTATTAAAAGTAAAAACATTTACGCGTACTAACGACATTTCTTTTTTCGTATGGTCCTCGTTAAGATGATAGGAATATTTTCTTTTTTCTTTTTCGATGTTTATCTTGGCTCTAAAAATAAAACCACCACCTTCAAGGATGGAGTCTTCGGCAAACGATAAATGCACTATAAACTCTCTTTCTTGTCGACTTTTATGAACATCGATCGAAGTGTATTTTTCACCTAAAGCGAAATATAGTTTTACGTATTCAAAGTCTGTTGTTCGTAAAAACTCGTGACTGGTTGATTCTATTTTTTCGTGTACGTGTAAGCGTCGTGGAATTTTGGCAATGTTGGTTGATGGTGGATTTTCCGTCTCCAATATCATATCTAAATCTTTGATTCCAATGATATCCTTATCATTTTCTACTTCCATTTTAAAGGTGTCTACATATTTACCATTTTTCGTTTCAATTTCCTGATCCCTTTTATCAATCAAACGTATATTCTGCTCCAAATTACCATCATTGAATAATGAAATATGTTTGACGGCCTTACCGGTTTGTTTGAAGACTACTTTATTGACTTTAACCTTCATGGGAAACTCTATTTGAATCAGACAATTACCTCGAAAAGAAAACTCTTGCGTTTCGCCGATATAGAATACGTTTTTAGGTTCTCCGTATGCGAGATAACCCACTTTTATTTCTGCTTTGAATCCGTATTTGTTTGATTTATAAATTTGGTCTTTTCTATCGAAGACAGTGTCACTTTCGAATGGTAGATTGAAATAATACGATTTATCCGTGACAATAGCTTCTAATTTGCTCAACTTTCTCTCTTGTCTCAAAAAATCGTCATGAATTCTAGATACCAAAAGATTGACCTGTTCTTTAATATAATTTTTCATATCATCTCGAAATTTATTTTGAAGAAAGTTTTTAATCACACCCACTTCTTTTTGTAATTCGTCCGTGATTTTAGTATGCAAAGCAGTCAATTGTTGTTTCAACGTATCTTTGTCAATGGGAAGTGTGTTAATTATATCTTGAACATCTGATTTTTGCTTCGCGATCTTTTCGTTCAAATTGGATATCGAATTTTGTAACTCGGTTTTGTCCGCGGTCTTGTCTAGTTCTGCTAGCAATTCGCCAAGTTTTCTTTCCAAAGCGGTTAGTTTTCGTTTCAATCTATCCTCGTTTACATTTGGGTTATCTATTAAACGTTGGACGTCTATTTTTACCTTCGTAATCTTATCGTCTAATTTAGATATCAACTCACTTGTTTTATCCACTAGAATAAGACGTTTCAAACTCGTTAACTCTTGTTGTAGTTTGGGTTCGTTCACAAGATTTCGTCTGAAGTATTTCTTCACGTCATTTATTCTGTTTTCTACGGAGCCCCTAAGGCGCAATTGTAAACATATTTATTTATTATTTCGTTTAAACGAAATAATTAATTCGTTTAAACGAAATAATTAAATCGTTTAAACGAAATAATTAATTCGTTTAAACGAAATAATCATTTCGTTTTAACGAAATACCCTATGTTTATTTCGTTTAAACGAAATAATTAATTCGTTTAAACGAAATAACTAATTCGTTTAAACGAAATAATTATTTCGTTTAAACGAAATAAAAAGATGGGTTAATTATTTCGTTTAAACGAAATAGACGAAAAAATTAATTCGTTTAAACGAAATAAACATAGTGTATTTCGTTAAAACGAAATAATTATTTCGTTTAAACGAATTAATTATTTCGTTTAAATGAAATAACATTTCGTTTTAACGAAATAATTAATTCGTTAA